GGCCTCTCTCATCTTTCTAAGTGGGAGAACTTGCACAATTGGTGGCTGACTAAATACTTTTTTGCCCCACTGTATCTGCTTAGCTTTCATAAGCCAGCTGTAATGTATGGATTTATTTCCAGTTTCAGTTCAAAACATGGGGTATGACTTACCAAGCCCTAAATAGCTTTAGAGCAGGCTATTTGAAAGACTGCATTCTGAACTTAAAGATCTTTAAAAGAAGCCCTCTTGATCTTGCAGCATAAGAGACAAGGTTGGTGTGAATGTAAGAAATGAGCTTGCAAGCTTTGGAATTCCCTGCCAAGGCTGGCCAGGCTAGCTTCCCTGCCACTCTTCCTTTTAGCTGAAAGAGGCATTTAAGATTTAAGTTATTTTGTCTGCTGATCATTTTCATTCAGTTCGGTTTTCTTTTCTTTTTCTTTTCTCTTTTTATTAATACGATTTCAATTGTGTTTTAACTATGTTTAATCAAATTGATTTGTTCATTATCCTTCTGCTCTATATTTTTATTGTTAGATGCTTTGACATTTTTGGTAGAAAAAATTGATTGATACGCTACTATTATGTTAATTTGCAAAACTCTAACTGGTTTTAAATCCACAGCATCTTAACATGAAACAAGTGTTTTTATTTCTAAATATGACATACAACAGATGGTGTCTGGTCAGGAAAGATTAAAATTAAACCTCTTAAATTGCAATGCAATTTATTTCTTGCAGAGTCTCTCTGAGTAACTATGAGGATGGGAGGGAAGGAGGGAGAGAAATATAGACAATTGTATTGTAGATCTAAAATAAGCGTCTTTATTTACCAGATAAGTCAGTCTGAGTCAGTGTATAATAGGGTGTACATTGCTGGCAGCTGGATGGTTGTCCTAACATTTCTTTAAAAAGTAATGCGATTTGAGTGCGTTTATCTCTTCCACACTAGCAAGAGTGGTGAATATTCTGGATGAAGTTTTTATATATGGGATTGCCTTTCCAGATATTATGCTATTGGGAAGAGAATTTGAGTCTGTGTGACAAATACACTTATATGTGATGCTTTTGGAACAATAAGTGTGTGCGCCATTGCAACAGGTGGTTGGTGTTGACAATATTGAAACTGGAGAACCTACTTTAAAGATCATGTGTACACAGCCAAGTTCTCTGGATTAGAGAGACAATTTTGTGGGAGAAGTGTAATGTGCATTAATCTTCACTGTGTGCTTTCCATGCTACTGAAGAAGACTGAGGATCTTTTGGTGTAGTAATGTTGTTTATGACGTAGCTGATTAAAGCCTAACAGAGATCTAGTTGTTGACATTGCCATGCAGGAAAAGGAAGTCTGAAGCTGAAAAGACAGAATTACAGTAGGAACATGGACCATAAGCAGGAAAGCTCAACATCGTGAAAGATTAAATGAGTTGACTACACATTGACATCTTAAGCATCAGCAAATTGAAAGGGACTGAAAATAGCACACTTTCAATCAAAAGATCATACTGTTTACTATTGGGAAACAAAAAACAAAAAAGGAATAGCATTGCATCCATAGTCAGGAGGGATATAGCAAACACAGTACTTGGATACAGTGCAGTCAATAACCAAATAATACAAATTAGACTTCATAGATCATCCTTTAATATGGCAGTTTTCCAAGTATATGCTTCAACTGGGATACAGAATAAGAGCAGATTAACAAGTTTGAGGGTCAAATTCAATCTGAAATCAGTAGAACATACAAGCAAGATGTCCTGTTTATGGTTGGAGACTGGAATGCAAAAGTTGAAAATAGGAAGAAGATGTAGTTGGATTGTACGAAGCAAGAGAATGACTTACCAGCTTCTGCAATCCAATTATTTCTTCGTTATTAACACATTCTTCAAACAACCAAAACAATGCCAATATACATGGACATTACCAGATAGAGCACACAAAAATCAAGTTGTTTATATTATTGATACAAAAAAGTGAAAGAGCACAGTCGTAACAGCAAAGATGTGGAACAGCAAAGGCTACTCACGTGTAATTCTAAGTCAAGCTAAAGCAGAACAACAAAGCCAATCAGTTTCCACAATATGATCCTGAGCATACATCTACCCTTTTCAAGGAAAGCATCAGGAATTACTGGGAAGTCATGAACCTCATTTATAGGGAACTAGAGGAATTGTGAACCGAAAGCAAAGAAGTTGTTAAGGATGAACAGGTGTGAAAAGAGAAACCTATACACAGGACAGGAAGCCACATCTGGATTGTCATGGCAAAACAGATTGTCTCCAAGTCGATAAAGGAGTGAGATAAGGCTGTGCATTCTCTCCTTATATATTCATCCTATATGCTGCATATATATTGGGGGGGCTGGATTGGGAAAAATTGCAAGAAGATAAAATTGGAAGAAGAAACATCAATAATCTGTGTTCTGCTGGTGACAATACTCTGACAGCTGAAAATGCAAATGATCTGCAAGCTCTAGTAATGGAAGTCAAGGAACACAATGAAAAAAATGGGTCTATAATTAAATATAAAGAAAACCAAACAAGTACAGCAGTTAGCCCCATAATAGGCAATGAAGATATTGAAGTGGTGGACCGCTTCTGCCTTTTAGGATTGACTATCAACAGTAAAGGAACAAGGAGTCAAGAAACATGGCATAGACTAGCCTTTGAAGGGCAGCAGTGCAGCCCTTGGGAAAAATAAGCTGTGTCATCTCTGTCCTTACAAAGGTCAGAATCATGGAGGCCATGTTTTTTTTTTCCTGTGGTGCTATGGAAGTGAAAGTTAAACTTTGAAGATGCAAGATGAAAAAAACTATTGATACTTTTCAACTTCAGTGTTGGAGAAGATTTCTGAGAACAGTATGGATAGCCAAGAAGACAAATGTGTCACAGAAAAATTTAGAGCTCATTCAAGAGGTCAGCAGGTCTCTTTATGGTAGACAAAATCAAGAAACAGATTCCACAAGAAGTCTAGAAGTTTTTTGATACAGGCTATAATAACGGAATCTTGCAAGCCTGATTGTGCTTTACCTCCCCTTCTATTATATCCCCATGGATCAAGGAGGAGCCCGCCTGAGTCTCTTTTAAATACTATCCTGTTTCTCAAGATTAAGGAATATTTTATCCCTCCTTGCTTATATAACAGTTCCCTCAAGGTCATCTCCCTGACTCTCTACAAGACCACTCAAATTATTATATTTTGGACACATGCAAAAACCCAGCTTCCTTGGTCCCTAATGCTGGGAAAGACGGAAGGAAAGAGAAGAAGAGAAGCAGCAAAGCAGTGGCAATGGGTGCACCATTGAGAGACCTAAAAAGCTAGGTTATCCTGGAGAAGATCTATCCATGCAGTCACTAGGAATCGACACCAGCTTGATGACACATAATCATCACTAATCATGTGTCTTCCCTAACATGAAGCTTGTAGTGAGGCTCATTTCCCACTTAGCTTCAGAAGCTCTGTGCCACAAAGCATTACTTGGATGCCAGAAAGTGGGCAACCTATTGGTGGTCAGACCACATGCAAAGCAGTCCGTGTTTTTAGAACTATGTTAAACCTTTTAGAACATACTTTACAGGTGATGTGTCTCAACATGTTGAGAATCCATGCTACCAATTTTTGGAAGTTATGATCTAATTTGCCATTCAAATGACAGTCTACTCCTTAGCATACTTTATTTGGGATAGGAGCATGGATTTGCAACAGTTGCAATAGATCATATATGAAACATAGCATACCAGTGGATTTCAGCAAAAAATTGAAATCAAAGACTGCAAAGAGAAAGGGAAAGAAGAAATGGTAGAAAGTCACTCCTACCCTTAGTACTGTTTTTTGTTTTACTTTTTAAGGAAAAATCTGTTACAGAAGTCTGAACATTGAGAGATGATAATTCTCAGTCCTTATTAGTAAATACTGTAAAAGGCACTTCTGTTCTTTGTGCTAGGTTGGAACAAGATATTAAGAAGTTAAAGGCTGATCTACAGGCAAGCAGGCAAATTGAACAAGAGCTGCGTAGCCAGATCAGTTCTCTGACTAGCACAGAGCGGGGGATCCGATCGGAAATTGGACAGCTCCGACAAGAAAATGAGCTGCTTCAGAATAAGTAAGTGTACCCATCTATCCCCTAATCTCACAATATATATCAGGGTTTTTTTATGCTGCTGCTTTTTACTCTTACATTTTTGTTCTGCAGGGGGGACAAAAGCATTTTTAAGAATCTTGATCTTGTCAAAATTAAGTGCTTTTGAGCTTCATCCCTTTTGGTCAGAAAGATTAAAGCTCTCTCTCACTTTATGTTTTCCTGACTGCCCTGTGGTCCTCAAGTGGGAAGCTAATGCATAAGCTTTAAAAGTCTTAATGGCTGAGATTTCTGTATTGAAGGAATATGAACTGAATACTCGAGAGTTCTTTCAGAGATAAGAGCACTACACTAATTAGGGATGGATTCCCAGTGATCTGAACAAATGCACTTTGAGCATATGAAAAGTGAGTCTGATTCTTTTTCAGAATGATACTTGATTCAATTAGAAAGTAAAAGTTCAAACTTGGTTAGCAGCAACATTCGCCAAAATTTAGCTCTGCTGCAATATGGATTTTTTTTGCAAGATGCAAACATTCTCTTTCTCTTGAAATCCCTTGAATTCTATGCTAAATTGCTTAGAATATACAAACCTAATCCAAATCAACAGTGAATGTTTGGATAATCATTCACTCATTTCGTGAATGTACGTATGCATCTTGGTTAGGTCCCTTTGTGCCTTGAGCCCCCATTTTTCTTGACAGGCCTCTAACTCTCTAGCAAATGGACTTGAATGAGTGAGAAGCCACCCCATCCATCTACATCCCTCCCCTCAACCCCCTTTTCTGAGCCTTTCTAGTGCTGCTCTCGCTGAAAGGGAATTAAAAAAAAGAATTGGTTGTATTCCTCAGCAAGCCCAATGCAAGCACAACATCCATGTTATGACAACAGAACCATCAAATAATTCAGGCCAATTAAAATGTGTGCTTGGGCTTATCACCTATGTAAAAGGCTTGCAGGACAGATGATTCATGTATACTGAATCAGTTATAATCACATATGTGTGTGGTTATCTCCACCTCTTAGCTAAGGCCCTAGACCTTTTTAGTTGTTTCTCAGTGCAATAAATAGATAATGACATCCTAGCAGTATTATTAGTGAGAAAGGACTTTTAAGCCATTGGTGTCAGTGCAAAAGTCTGAACCAAAACTTTCCTGACAGCTTGATAAATAGCTGTCCAGCCTCTGCTTGAATACATCCAGCAGATAGCCTTCTCTCTTTCTTCTAAGTCACTGATGTCACCATTGACTTGCTTTTTTAACTGTTAGACAGTTCTTCCAAGTCCATTCCTGAAAAGTGCATTGTAATTTTGGGTTTGAATGTGTTCAGAGTTGAGGAAGTTTTTGCACAGCAGTAATATCACATTGTTCATGTCATCATGCAAAATCTCTCTTTTTTTTTAAAGCATCTCTGAAAAAGTGATGCATGTCAGAATTTGAACACCAGAAATTTCAACCTCAATCAGATGAAAGAGGTTGAGATTCTGACTGCTTTGTCCAAAAGAGAAGTTCTATAAGTGTCAGGCCTAGCCCAAGGAACTCCAAGAGACAATGGAAATTCAGTCCAGTTATGTTTATTAGCTACAACCTCTAGCAAGAATCTTCCCAGACTGAACCCCCACCCCCAAAAGTCACCCAGCCACAACAGTGTGAATTCCTCAGGGAGGTGCCAGTCTCATCCTCTTGTTCCTCCCACGCTCTTCT